TTTAGTAAATAACCCTGCTTACACTCAGATGTTTAATAATTAAACATGGTTAAATCGGGAATCTTTTTAAAATCAAAGGATTTTATAGGCACCAAAACAACTTTAGATTAATGACGCAGTTTTGGTGCAGAGATCACGCCCTTAAAGTCTATTGATGACTTTAAATTGTAATTCTGTTAAATTCAAACAGTTTATAGTTTTTAAAACAAAATCCATGCATAAGTCCATTCTGTTCCCAATTTTTTTTTTTTTTATTAAGTCCGTTTCCCATTTTTTAAGTGTTGGAAATGTTTGAGGAGATTCAGACATTCTCAGAATATTGGCACATTTTTTTTAAATTCTTTATTTTTGTAGTGCATGGAGGTATAACAAATGAGCATGTGGTACCCCAACGGCATTCCTCATGCTTTTCAAGTAACAATTGTAACAATAGGGTATATGTTAATACGTGCACATTTTATATGTTAAATTATTATGAGGTTTGTCAGTCAGATTCAACAACTTGGTAGTGTTTAGACAGGCTTAGACAATGTAAGAACATCTTTGAATTTAAACAGGCTTAAGCTTACGTCATAGTGAATACGTTATATTAAGCAGTGGGTGAGTATATATATCTACATTTAGATAATTTTTTGACAGCACAATTTTATGAATAATAGATGATAGGTAGCAAAGTTGAAGCTATGCAACTACGTCTGTCTCATTACATTACTTTGTCGATTAATAACAGTGGCTTAATATTTACGTAGCGTGTCATCGCTTTAATATCTAGACATCGTCCTGGTTATGCTTGACTATGCATAAGTGAGAGGCATACATTTTATGCAGCAACTGCTGGACTAAGTAGTCATGACATGCAGTAGATAAGACAGAAGGTTTGTGTTTCCGGTTATGATAGAGTATGCAATGCTGACTACCGATAAACATGTAATTCCATTAAGGTTTCCAGCTTAACTAAGATTCTCATTAAAACAAGGTGCCACCAGGCAGGGCATCTTACATTCCGCTGTTTCCTCTATACATATAAAGCTTAACCAAAAATTGACTATGTACAAGGTTGTGTGCAGAGGATGTGAAGGTTATTCAGTGACTGCAATTACAGTGCTATCTGATGTGGTTAGTCGTGGCATACCATGCTTTATGCTTCTTATTATGAATGGCTGGGGTCACCGCCAGCTCCATCACGGCGCAAAGCATGAGATAGTTGGGTCGTACACAAATGGAAAGAGATATTTCAATCATCTTGCTAAACTCAGTTAATAAAAAAAAAATAAAAAAAGGAAAAAAGAAAAAAGCTAATATGTGGGATGTATTTCCTAGTGTGGTGTGCCTTGTCAAGTCTAGCTAAAACAATAAACACAAAACTTAAGTTAACTTAAATTAACAATGCAAAGTAGCTTGGGGGCCTTTCCAGTCTCCCTTGGTCCCGGTCAGGACGTCTCTCGATGCTTCATGTGGTCACTGTAGCATACGGTTCCCCTCTGTTTCGTCGTGGTGTAAACGGGGCAATTTTGCTTGGGTTCCAGGTATGCTTGTGTCTGGGTTCAGGTTGTTGCTGAGGGTTGACTAGAATGTCCTGCGGTAGTCCCAAATTCCCCAGGAGTGTGCCTGCCTCTCGTAGTTCCTGGATTTGGTGTGTGGTCTCTCCATGTATGATCTGGAGCATGCGGGGCATTCGCCAGCGGTACTCTATGTTGCGCTGTTGGAGCATGGATGTAAGGGGCTTGAGCGACCTCCGCCAGGCCATTGTGCTGCCGGACAAGTCACTATAGAATTCCAGTGCCATGTTTTCAAAGCGATAATTTGGCCTACCCCTGATTGCCTTCAGGATCGCCGTCTTGTCTGTTCCGTGCCTGAATTGAATTATCAGGTCACTTGATGTCGACGGTGGGGCTCTGGCTGGTTTGGGGATATGAAAAAGCCCGTCCAGGGGTGTTGCTTTTGCCTGTTTTTGTGGTAGTAGATCCCCCATCATTCTCCGCACCAAGTGTGGCAGCTCCGCTTCGGGGACAGCGTCGGGCACCCCCCGGAGTTTCAAATTATTCCTCCGCCATAGATCTTCTTGGGTTGCAAAGCGGCATTCGTGGGTTTGGTTCTGCCGCTGCAGGTCCTGCACCGCTTTCTCCAGCACCTGTATATGCTGGGAGTCCTGGTGAGTGGTGGTTTCTAGCTTGTCGGCAAGGAGACCCTTTAGCGCCGATAGTGTGACCGGGGATGTGTCCGGTTTCGTCAGCGGGGGTTTAGCCGGCGTGAGTTCGGGTGTCTCTTCCTCTTCCAAGGCCAGGTCGTCTGAAAAATCAGAGCCACCGCCCGACAGGGTGGCCATCTTGGGCCCGACCGCGCCATGTGCTAGGCGCCACATTTCACCGATGTTCATCCCAAGGTGAGGTTGATCCTGCTTGGGTTTTTTTGTTTTACGTACCATAGTTGTCAGGTGTACGGGTCCGACGTCTGGGGTCTCGGTATAGCAGGGAATGGCCCTGAAAATTGCGATTTTGTCCGCTTTTGGATCGGAGCTGCAGTGTCGTGCGACTTCTCTCTTTGGTGGCTAGGCTCTGCCTTATATTGGCACATTTTTTAAAAAGATTTTTCGTCTCATAGCCTGTAATACGTTTTCCTAAAGCCTGGGAAACCCCCCTCCCCTTTTTTTTTCCAAGGCTAGGTGTTTACTGGTCATTCTTGTTTCTTTGCCTTGCCATATGAATTTTAGAAATGCGCGTTGAATCGTTAGCCAACTCTCCGGGATGAGGAGAGGTATCATTCTCATCATGTAAAGCCACTTTGGTGATATATATGTTTTTATAGTGTTTACTCTACCCCACCAAGAGAATTCCAATGATTTCCACTCTTTCAGCGATTTATTTGTTTGTGAAATTAAAAAGAGGAAATTACATTCAATTATCCTAGTTGGGTAGGACCATACTTTAATGTCCAAGTACTTAAATGAATATTCTGCCCCCCCCAAAAATCTAATCTTTCTTTAATTTTGTTTGTAACCTTGTTAGAGAAATTGCTAGGCAGAATGATTGATTTATCCATATTTAATTTATATCCCAATACTTTTGAAAATTCTTCTATTGTTTTTATTAGTTGTCTAACTGATTGGACCGGATCTTGTAATGTTAAAACTACATAATCGGCATACATATGTATCTTGATGTTACTTGAGTTTGGATTAAAACCTAAGATTCCATCATTTTGTCTTATGGCTGTGGCTAGCGGTTCCAAAGACAAAATATAAAGTAAAGGGGATAGGGGGCACCCCGTCTAGTTCCATAAGTTAAGGGGAACCAGCCAGATGCAAAAGCCTGACCCAATACCACGTCAGGTCCCTATGTAGAGCTTCTCTGTGCAATAGGGTTTGGTAGAAATGTTTAATTTGTGTGTAGCGGAAGCTTTGCATTGCGGACGGTTGGTCGTTGTCTATCAATTCCCGTAGTGGTACCATGCCTGTGTTATTCAGCATCTTATGGATGGGGAGGAATTCTCCCCCACCTAGGATACTCCAAGATGTCGGTGGCAGCCCACCTCCTATTTGAGGGTTATATGACAGCTGTATCATCAGGCTCAGTGTTGGAGACAGCTGTGAGATTCTTCTGATGCTGTCCCTGTTTTTAGCGTCTGTGCCACAGTGGAGGTGCAGTCTTGGGGCGTCGTCGGGGGTCTCTTCGAGTTCCATACTGTAGTGAGAAGTGACGACCCCATGTGGTTCTTATCTAGTTCAATCCATTGTTTGTGTGCTGGGAGAGTATGCCATTCCAAGACCCATTGTAGCACTATAGAATGATGGTATTTGCGGAGATCCGGGAGTGCTGTTCCACCTCATGCTCGAGGCAGGCATAGGATTTCCTGTCTCGCCTGTCGCCCACTCCACACGAATCGTATCATAGCGGTCCGGAGCGATTGAAAGTACGCCGTCGGTAGGGCTAGAGGTATCGTTTGGTAGAGGTATAGGATCCGGGGCAGTATGTTCATTTTCAGGATAGCTATGCGGCCGAACCACGAGATATATGGGTACGACCACATCTGTAAATCTCGTATTTTTTGTTGTAAGGGAAGGAAGTTCGTGTCTCCCAGATCCCTGTTAAGGGCGATGCCCAGGTATTGCATGTGGGTCGGGCACCATCTGAATGGGAATTGGCACTTCAGTACGTCGACCTGTGTTGGGGAGGTCGAGATGTTAAGTACCTCATATTTAGGTATATTCAGTTTAAATCCCGATATCTCCCCATAGGTCTCAAATGCCGACATCAAGTGAGGCAGGGTGGTCTCGGGTTTGTTGATAATAAATAAGAGATCGTCCGCATACGCCGCTACTTTGTGGGTAGTGTCCTTGTCGGAGAATCCTAGGATCTCATCTGATCTGCGCACCATTTCCAGGAATGGTTCAAGGGTGAAGGCGAAGAGCATAGGAGAGAGCGGACCTCCCTGCCGTGTTCCGTTCCGGATCTGAAAGGGTTCGGTGAGTGCACCGTTCACTCTTACTTTGGCACTTGGGCAATGATATAGTGCTCCTATCCACTTCATTATGTTCTCCCCAAAGCCCATCTCCCGTAGCGTAGCCATAAGGAACGACCAGTTTACCCGGTCGAACTTTCTCAGCATCCGTGGAGAGCAATAGGAGGTTGTCTTTCGACCGCCTCGCCAGGTGTTGGATGGATTGGACCCTGAGAGTGCTATCTCTGGCCTCACGTCTGGGTATGAATCCCGTCTGATCTGGGTGGACCAGATTCGGCAGGAGGCCTCTGATCCTGGTGGACAGTATCTTGGTCAGTAGTTTTACATCCACATTGAGTAGGGAGATCGGTCTATAGCTGCTTCATAGTTCGGGGTCTTTCCCTGGCTTCGGGAGAACCGTGATGGTAGCCGCCAGTGACTCCTGGAGCTGAGCGTCCTCAATGAGAGCGTTAAATGCGTTAGTAAGTTTTGGGATTAAGATGTGTTGGAATTTCTTATAATATTCTAGGGTGAAGCAGTCTGGGCCTGGAGCTCGACCTGTTTTAGCTGCTTTGATCGCTCCCGCCACCTCCGCCTCCGTGATCGGTACCTCCAAGTCCTCCGATTCCCCTCGCTGCAATCTCGTCCCCACATAGGTTTTGATATAGTTGCGCATTTTTTCGTTCCTATCCACTATCTCATTTGGTTGTGTCGGTTGCGGGATATTATACAGTGAGGAGTAGAATGTCCGAAATTCCGAGGCGATCTTATCCGGAAATTGTGTAATTGTGTCATCAGCTTGCCTTAGTCTGTTGACCTGGGCTAGTCCCTGTGGACCTTTAAGTATCCTGGCCAGTAGCCTCCCGCCTTTGTTAGCATGTTGATAAAAGAAGGCCTTCGAGCGTTGCAATGAACGATAGTGATGGGTCATCATGTGTTTTTGAAGCTGTCTCCGGGCTTCCAGTAGCTCCGCGTATGTCGACTCGAGGTGTGATCTATTATGCTGTGCCTCGAGTGTAGATATGCAGTCCACAAGGTCGGTTATTTGTCGTTGGGATTCTTTTCTCTTTTTGGAAGCTAGGTGCATCAGTGTGCCCCTAATAACGCTTTTATGCGCCTCCCAGATCGTGGTCGCAACGTGGTCTCTCGTTGCGTTGAGCATAAAATATGAATTGAGTTCTTCGGAGACCTGTTCCCTGACTGTTAGGTCTAACAGTAGCGAATCTTGGAGCCTCCATGCCCATGAGGTTGGGCGCATCCTTGGGGAATCTATCTTCAGAGTGACTGGTCCATGGTCAGACCAGTGTGCAGCTGCTATCTCCGCTGTTTGAATTGTCGTCAACTGTTCTTGTTGCATGAATATATAATCTATTCTCGAGTAGCGTTTGTGGATCGTAGAGTAGTGGGTGTATTCCCTGTCATCGGGATGCATTGCGCGCCAGAAATCCACCAGTCGAAGGTTCCGTAAAGATTTCAGTATATTTCGGAGAGCACCTTCAGTTATGCAGCTGTGTCCCGTAGACAAGTCGGTAAGAGGGTGTAGTGGTACATGGAAATCTCCGCCTAGGATCAAGGTTCCTTCCGTAAAGGAGGAGAGCTTGAGGAGGGATTTGCGTATGTATTGGGCTTGGTTATTGTTCGGGACGTAGATTCTAGCGAAAGTGTATCGTCTATCTTGAATATCTCCCTTAAGGAAGAGGTACCTGCCATTTGCATCCGATAGTCGGTCCGCTTCGCAGAATTGTTGCTTCGCCTCTAGGAGGATAGCTACCCCCGCCCTGCGGGCCGTGGGGTGGTTACTACAGGCGGCGTTGGGATAGTGCTTACTTTTCAGCATTGGGGCTGCACCCTCCTTGAAATGCGTCTCTTGTAAGAAGGCTATAGATATACGTCTGGCGTAGAGGTCCCGTAGGAGTTGCGTCCTACGCTCCGGGATGTTGAGACCGTGGCAGTTCAAGGATAAGATTCGGTTTGGGTCGGGCTCGTAGGTCGTGAGGGGGCGAGGGGCCGTGGCCACTCCCCGCGGCATCGTGACTCACACGGGCGGGGGGGGGCGGAGAGAGAGCGAGGAGCGAGGGGGGGGGATGAAAGAAAAAAAGGGGGGGAGAGGGGCAGAGGTTTTAAGAGATAGCTTGAGAGAATGGAGGGGCAACAATCACCCCTCAACTCGTACGTTTCGGGGATAGTGGGTGTGTCCGGCAAACATCACCACCATGGGTGATTCCTCTTCTGTGTGAAGAGTTAGATTAGAGTCGTGGGCAACCTACGGGTGCTCCGCCACCTCGTCATTAGTCATATGTCACTTACATGGATTAGTGTATACAGTGAGTTGTATCATCGGCTAAAGTAGACCTCAATGATGGGGGGTCATACATCGTCTTTTTTTTATTCTTTATTTTTGCTGTGCAGGTGGGTACAAGAAATTCAACTGACGCCACAACAGCGTATTGCAAGATATACGATAGTTAAACAATAGCATGAGAGTCTGCACAATTTTATATTTTTAGCAAGCTTAGCTAAACAGTTGTATCGTTAGCGTGAAGTTAAATGAAATACAGCAAGATAATTGATGCTTAACTTGTCTAATTCGGCATTTGTGCTAGGCATATGAGTGAGAAACAAAACAGTGAGCTTATTTTTGCCGTTAAAACAGGAGCTAAGGTCAGCATCAAGAACAGATTTCTATAGGCTTAATTAAGTTTAACCACCAGGGGGCAGCAGAGCGTCGGACATACATGCAAGCTCAGACATTTTACTTTCTATTTGCAGGAAGAGTCTGCTATAAAAGACACACATTAATATCGTAGATGAGGTACTAGATTAAGAGGTACACCATCGTCTGTTATAACTTTAGGCATATATGGTTAGAAGCCACTTGATCCCTCCTGCAGCTGTGCTAGATCTCTGATTGTAGTTGGTTATTTCTGTGTGTGGAGGCTTGACAGTCAGGAGTGAAGTGAAGCTCATTCCCCATTTACGTTGTTCCTTTGTACTCAGGTAGGGTCAGAGTCCAGATAGAGTCCCCTTATATCCACTGTTGATAATGAGAGGTGATGCCCCTGTTGGTGTGAGTGTTATAATGCTGAGCTGAGCTGAGCTGAGCTATGCTTGGCTTGCTTGTGGAGTATATCCCTTATACAGTTATCCTGTGGGTGGAAGGAGCACTCAGTCTGTCTGCCGTTGCTTTGGTACTTCCCCCTCACTTAATCTCACAATGCGGCGGCCATCTTTTTTTCCCATGTGGTCCCTGGTCAGTCTTCCTGCCGCTTAGATGCCCTGATCGAGGGCTGCGTCCCCGGTGGGGTCCGGGATAACCCACCCGGCCCACGGGGGGGTAACGGGGCCCTTAGCAGGCGGCGGGAGGTCCCGCCCAACCAAGCATGGGAGATCGGCCGCTTCTCCCGCCAGGGCCTCACAGCAGGCCGCAATCCCACTCACCCACCAGACCGCGTCGCCAGCGGAGCGGGGGCTGATACTTGCCCCGAAGGTTGTTGGTCGGGTCCCCTTTCCTTTCTCACAGCAGCTGACAGTTTTCCAAGCAAGTAGGGGTATTTATAAGCTGGTCATTGTGGGTTCATCAGGGAGCCGAGGTGCCCCACGTCTTCCCAGCTCGGCGGCCAGGCCCCGCCCCCCATTCATCGTCTTTTTAGGGAACACGGTGTGGTTTTGGTGGGGGCTAAGCTTACCTATATCACAGTCTTCTGTGGGGGCAGTATGAGTCAGTGTAGGTCGTCATGTATTGCTGCATGGTGGGGCAGGGCGGGAGCACAACATAACTTCGGGCTGGGGGACTAAGGGACAAGTTGGGCGCGCCCAATGCTCGTCATAAAGTCCAATGCAGCGTGGGGTGTCGGGAGGGGGGGCATGCAGCGTTTTCTGTGTGTCACGGGGTGTCAGCGGTCTAGGGGGTGGGCTAGGCCAATGTCATCTGCCTACCCGAGGTGGGGCCAGTAGCATGTTGCCCTGTCTTGTAAGGGCTGTGTCAGCAGCTGATGTTTGGCGTCGCGTGGTTTGGGCCTGTGCTTCAAGAGCCTGTATCCGGCTGCCCTGTGCCTCCATGTCAGTCCTCAGTGCAGTCACTGCTGAGGTGAGGGATTCTGTGAGGGTAGAGGTAGGAGATTGCAGGTCAGCTTTTGTGACCATGTTACTTGCCAGGCGCCTGATCTCTGCTCCTATATCTGCCAGCATGGGCTGCTCCTGGTCTGAGCTGGAGGAGGCAGGGGAGACCTGCGCCATTTTGGAGTCGTGCATGTCGCGACTAAACCCCAGCGGGGTTTGAAGAAACCCGTCCATCGGGCCCGAGGAGGACGCCTGGGGTGCAGCCCTCGGGGTCTGCGGGTGCTCCGCTCGCTTTGTGCGCCCCATCAGGGTCGGTGTGCATGCGGTAAGTGGCTGTTAGGAGCGTGGTGGCGAGGAGCTCAGGATTTAGGCAGCCATGCTGCTCGGACCTCAGGCCACGCCCCCATAAAAAAGATTATTAAATCTATCTGGCCCAGGTTGGTTTTTTTTGTTTTTAATTTATCAATACAAGTTATCAGTTCTATTTCTGTAAATGGTTTATTTAGAAATACTAATTGGTTTTGTGTTAGTTTTGGTAGAGATATATTATTTTAAAAAGTTACCTATATTTGTTTTAGACGGTCTATTTGTTAAATTGTACAGTTTTTGATAGAATGTACTAAAGGCGTACCTATTTTCTCTGGTCTCAATAGCTTTGCACCATTATCGATTATTTTATTAATGACTCTCTTCGCTCTTTTTTTTAGACAATTAGACATTAGTTTTTCAGCTTTATTCCCTAGATCAGGGGTAGGCAACCTTCGGCGCTCCAGATGTTGTGGACTACATCCCCTATAATGCTGGCAAAGCATCATGGGTGGTGTAGTCCAAAACATCTGGAGTGCCAATGGTTGCCTATGCTTGCCCTATATGGTACCATTTCCTTTTTATGGAATTTAAAGTTTTATTAGCCTGTCTAATTAATTTATCATTAATTAATTTTTCAATATCTGCTATTTTATTAGAAAGTTGTAATGAGGGAGCTAATTTGTTTTGATAATGTTAATCATCTAGGTTTATATATAGCTTTGCTAAGTTTATACATTTTTCTTTATTAAGTTTTTTTTCTTTAGATGTTAAGTTTATCAAATGGCCTTATATAACGCATTTATATGCGCACCAAGTGACTAGGGCCATTACCTCTTTCCCTCTATTTTCACTAAAAAAAAGTCTGTTCGATCTTGAATGTGTTTCACATTTATGTCATTTTTTTAAAACCCAGTCATTCAATTTCCATTCTGGTATTTATTTTTTAATATTTTCATCTAAAGCCATAAGTATCGGGTTATAGTCGGACCATGAAGTTGTAGTAATAAAAATCTTTTTAATGACTTTTGCTACAGATCTATCACCTAATATCAAATCAATTCTAGAATATGAGTTAAATGACTTGGAAAAACACCAGAAATCTTTTTTGTTGAGATGAAAAATCCACCAGCAGTCTAACAAAGCATGCAGGTTAATGACTTCAGAGAATCTTTTAGCATTAAGTTACTGTTTTGTATTTTTTATCCAGTGATCGTTTGTCTTAATCTGGATCTAGAATACAATTGAAGTCACCCATAATTACAACCTGTCCTACTTTAATACGTTCAATTTTATACAGGACTTTTTTAATAAATGAAATTGGTGATGTATTTGGAGCATATATGTTAGCTAACGTATATTTTTGGTTATTAATTTCACATACTAAAATAATAAATCTGCCTTCACTATCCAAAACTTGATAAATAATTTTCAAACCAAAATCTTAGAAAAACGAAAGCAACACCTCATTTTTTTTTTTTTTTTGTTAGAGTTGCACTTATAACTGTGGGAAAACATTTTGAGTTATATTTATGTATGTCCTCCATAGTCCAGTGAGTTTCTTGGAGGGCCCCAATGTGGATGTGTTCTCTTTTTGTGTAATTTAATATTGTGTATCTTTTAAAATGTGAATTGGTTCCCTGTGCGTTAATAGTAGTCAGTCTAATAACCATATTTAACTGAATTCTCCTCTCATCTGATTGGACTAGGAAACTCATCACTTTACAACACAGAAATAACATCAAATATGGACTCGATTGACTAACAATGCCTACTTGAAATATATAAACAGACATTCTAAGCCATTCGTTGGACATACTCTTATCTACTGGAGAATCACTCTCCCTAACCCACTTGTCGGCAATTGCCTCCTTGGAGTGTCGACTAAAACCCTTCTCTACGCCTTACTGATCTTGAAAAAAACAGTGGCCTAGCCCCCTAGGCCCTAGTTGTTTGGCCCTTGTATTCCTTTGCCAGGTTCCTATTCTTCAGTTTTTGAACAAAGGCAAAGAGAGAAAAAAAAACATTAGTAAAATGCTTAAATTCCCTTGGTTAGAAAGCTACTGGTGTTTACTATCCCTTATCATTTACTGATGTGAGTAGTATTCAACAAATGTATGTGTATACATGTGTATTGTGTTTAAAAATCAAGTGTTTACTACCAACAATTTATTTTTCTGTGTTAGAGATTTCTACAAAAAGTGTAAATTTATATTTAATTAGCTGTGTAGTTAGACGTGATTCCTAGACACGTGCAATTAGTTTCAGTCCGAATTTAAATTCGGACAAATTACGGCAATTCGGAGATTCGGATGCTTCCAAATGTCCGAATTTCCGAAGTGCCGAAGTGGTGTATTTCCAAAGTGCTGAACCGAACCGAATTGCCAAAGTCCTGATTGCCGAAGTTCAGAATTGCGAAAGTGCCGAATTTCGTAAGTGCCGTACCGAATTGCCGAATTTCGGAAATGCCGAAGTGCTTCGGATTTCTGAAAAGTGGCAAAACAGGAGAGGGAGGGAAAATTAAGAGAATGATGACAGGAATCTAACCCTAACCCTACTCCTAACCTTAGCCCTAACCCTAACCCTTACCCCAACCTAGTAGGGTTAGGGTTTGTGGTAGAGGTTGAATTAGGGGTAGGGTTAGGGGTAGAGGTAGGGTTACGG